AGGGCCATAGAAGCTCCAATTTGCGACCCACGGAAGCTTCTATGGCCCTGGATCTTCTCTGGTATACTATCCCTTTATTTCGGCTAATTTCTACTATTTTTCCAGCGATCCGCGGTGCCTGGTAGAGGCTAAGTTACAACATGAAATGATGAATATCAAAACATTGTCGGCTAAAAAGGATGTCAAATCTCCGGTTAGAGTGATTTGTGAGGAAACAAATTTACGGATGACACACTCACGAAAAGTCAAGAGACTCTGAACCAATATCCCTGCCCCCGGTGTTGATATATTTCACAGGGCATCTTAAGTGCTTGTCAAATATTGTTCGATTGGGGCCCCTCATATTCCCCGTGAAACATCCGTGAAGAAATCCAAACACCCAATCCATCGCCGATTGCCGATGTCCCAGTTTCCTTGCTTCAGGTGCTGAAGACAGTAGGGGAGGGGCAAAAAATATTTAGAGACGTTTTGCTTGGTCGCGTCTCTTTTGGACGATAAATTAAACAAACTTTTTTGTCCTCGCTTCTGACTATAGATGTGTTGTCGCCAAATTCAAGGATCCCCGTGTTAGCATTTTGTGTTTACGTTTTAATACAGAACAAACAGTTGTTTGAGATAGTCGACAACATCCAAGACAACTGACACTCGAGACACAATTCTTAAGACTACGCTGTTTTACACAAGTTTTCTTACAAGAGAAAACGAGTAGACAATTTTAAGATTTGAGTTTCTCGGATTCATCCGTCTAGAGCCTCGCAGAAGACATGGTGTCACAGACTTCGCCCGGCTCCTTCAAAGTGTAGCTTCTGTTTTGGCGATGAGACATCTGCAAACAGCCCAAGTGAGCGCATGACATCTCCAAACAAAAGGACTCCGCCATGGGCCATGCTCCCTACACAGGTTGGCGCAGTGACCCAGCTGTGACGTCACAGGTCCCTCCCACCCCCTCGGGCCAGTAAAGTGAGAGATCCAGAGTCATCATCAGGCTGCAGGGCTGCCTTGTAGCTACAGGCGCTTGTCAGTCAGTAACCGGGTAGGACAACTTTTTACCCCCGCGCAAAGCAATCAGGACCCGGCGTCGCCGATTATCGTTGCTCGGTGAGTAGAGACCAGCGCGCTGAAGCGTAAGTCCGTACTGTGTGTTCTAAAAACTGGGCTGACGACGCAGAGGCCGTACGGTGTATAGGCGGGCCACGTCTTCTCTCTGTGGCGGTTTTCCTCCGGTAGGTCTTGTGTCACCACATCCAGGTAACATTACCTACGCAGGGTGTAATCCCGCTACATAGTGCGGCTAATCAGAGCCTGTATTGCGGGCGGCTTCTAACTGATATCCACCCAGGGCCAACAAGTACCGACTCTTGTTTGAATTTGGTGCACGGGGCACAAAGTTACGAAAGACCATAGGAACAAAACGTAAAACAGACGACAAGCTTAAACAGACTACGAGCTTAAACAGACGACGAGCTTAAACAGACGACGAGCTTGCTTAAACAGACAACGGGCTGGCTGAAACAGACGACGAGCTTGCTGAAACAGACGACGAGCTAATACACAGACGACGAGCTTGCTGAAACAGACGACGAGCTTGCTGAAACAGACGACGAGCTTGCTGAA